TCTATTTAAAATTTAAATCGTTATTGTTTTCATTAAGGAAAGATGTATAGTTAAACATACATTATGCAAGAGCTAAATCTGTCTATTGCAGGTCTTTCTTTAGACCTGAAATTTTATCTAAATTATTAATTAGACATTAATTAACCTATCCAGACCATAATCAATTCTAAATGGCATCGCTAACCTGCGATCTTTAGTGTATTATGAGCCGATTTACTGCATAACTTTCCTTCACGATTTAACGATTAAATGGATAATCGAGACTATGCTGATTATCGTACTGACTATAGTAATGATGATCGAGGCTAGGCGGAAATTTCAATCGCTTAGTTCTCGGTTCATAGTGGATCAATTTGAATGAAATTTTCAGCAAATTGCCTTTACATTATCTAGTTTTTAACTATTATAGTGAGAACTGCCAACTCGTTATCGAATCTCTATTAATATATCTTTAATAGAGTAGAAAACACTCAAATGTTCTTTATGTTTCTACAACAATCAACAAGACTAGGATTTCCTTTGAAAAAGTACCGCTTGATGACCTCTAGGAGATAAGACAACGTACCTAACAGAAAGGATAATATTGCCAAATGCCAGTTAAATGGGAGGAAAACAAGAAGCTAGAATACCGATTGTGCGGTACCGGTAAGGGTATACTATGGAATATGGATAGATGTTCTGGCTCCTGGAATATGCCATTCAGAAGCTTAAGCCAAATATCAGCCCACAACCTGTCTTCAAGAAGGATTATTTTCTAAGCTTAATCATGCTCACTTGAATAGCTAACTTAGGACCTTCCGTTACTTTTTGTGGAAATTTGCGGTTTAAAATAGGATATAACCTCTGCCCTTGGCTGTAAAAACAGATAAGCTGGTTTCTCACATTCTACTGGTTAAAAATGCTAGCTTTTCAAAACTAGCTTGCATATTAATTATTATAATAGCTGTCTGATCAGGATATCAGATTGTCAAATTCTTCAACAGAAACCCTTTATTGTAAACTTCAATAATATCAATCTAACTATATTGTTGATATTATGGTATGATTTAAATATGTAGCAAATCTGATCCACAACAATTATTTACCCTAAACTTTAAGAAAATGTTTGAATTTAAAAAATAAAACATGTAGGGGCATTTAGAAAAAGTAGGTATGTGGAGAATGAAAAGTGTGCTTATTAGTCATCTTGATCCACCCTGCTATTTTAAATACTTGTAGACCATAATAATATAGATGTTACTTAAAACAAATTAAAAGATTTTTATAACTCCTTAAATATGATAAGATTATTTTAATAGTTCTTAAAACCTCTTTAATACACAAAAGTCCATTATAAGGTAAGATAATATATTAAATCTGTATTAGACTGTGACATGTTTGTGATAACGGTTACACTAATATATTACTGTACATGTTGTAAACGTGAAAATATTATAAAACATACTACATTCGCAAAGCTAAAGGATATTGGGGCTGGCAGGGTACAATACATGTAGGTTAGCTGTGTGCTTTAGATCATGAGGTCTCTCACTGAGTCAAGTGGTATGGTTTCGTATACCCACTTGTACGTTCAATCTCATGGGTTTTCTCCGGTTTCCGCCAACTGCTAAAGACCCCAATTATTAAAATAAAAACTGAACCATATGTTACTTGTTAATTCTGCAATGGCCTAGTTGTGTTGAGTTGACCAGTTTGGGATTGAACCGTGCCACTTGACTCAATGACAGACCTTAAACAACGCCCCCTCCCCTCTCCCAATATGATTGATAAACTAAGATAGATTACTCTCTGACCTCAGGCAGTTATCTTGTTCTTCATTAATTCTAATAAAATCTGATCAGTGTGATGATTACATATAAATCCAACTAAATAGATAAAGTAATTTAATCAGACTCAATTACAATACTAAAGTACAACAACATTTGTTAACCATGTTAACTACACAAATGTGCATTGCGGAAATAAAATGGGGTTTAACGACCTCCTTTTCTGCACAATGACAGGCATATGTCATACAGTATGCTAAAGGAAAATTTAACCAGGTCAGTGGCACTACGCCCTACTCGTCCCATCCATGTGTCCTTATCAGGCCATCATTTCTGCGCCACTGGGGGGTTGGATGGCTGAATGGTTAGCGTGCGCGCGCTGTATCATAAAGTCTGTCATTGAGTCGACTGGCGTGGTTTCGAATCCCCGGTTGTACGTGGCAAGGAGTAGGGTCGCCTGTCCAACCTCGTGGGTTTTTCTCCGGGTCCTCCGGTTTCCTCCCACTGCTAAAGACCCCTGCTAAAGCGAATTATGTAAATAAAATTAAACTATATGTTAGTCCCGAAATGACCTAGTTTGTGTCGAGTGGACGTTAAACCCCATTTCTCTCTCTCTCTCTCTCTGCGCCACTGACGACAAGAAACGGCACTGGAAAATCCTGAGAAATTTCTTACTGAGCCATGAGAATTGGTATCACTATATTTGAATTGCATACTTCATTAATTAATATATCAAATTACCTCCTGTTAGTGTGTTGATTTACATGGAAAAAATATTTTGCACAAAAAGACCAGGGGAGAGTAAATGAAATATTAGCTATTTTATTCAATTATTTTGAACAAACTTGATAAATCTTTGTTGGTATAAACAGAGGTATTAAGAATTTTGGGGTAGAACTTCTACAGGAACAAATTACAGCTGTATGGGGGCTCAGGGAACTTGTTATGGATGAATACCAGTCCCCATGAAATTGGTATTTTGTTGGGGGTTTTTTTTTTTTGCAAAATCAATCTTTTAAAACAAATTAGATCTAGTCTACAAGTTTCCAGACTTTTAGTAATTTTGTAAGTTGACTAAGAACCATTTATCTATTTTGACATTGACCTAGGTTTTGTAATGAATTTCCTTTGTATTATGTATGGATGTGCTAGATTTGGAACCAAGACATTTCTATGTTCTTTAAAAGATGAGATCTTATTAATATTCAAGGCATATAGAGATTATATAGCAAAACAAGTGATCTTTCATCAACAAGTCCAATACACTAAATAATTGACCAATTTGTAATGGTCAGTGAAGTGTCCAGTCTTTAACCCCGTTTAGATTACAAATTTCAGGCGGACAGAATAGTTAAAATTTTTGTACTCTAAATGGGTCAAACCTGCCATTCCAATCTAGATCACGGAAGTGGGGTGGTTTTGGAACTGTTCTCAGTATGGCACAGGTAAATTTCTATGAAGAGTTCCACATTTAGCCTGCCTGGAACTGTTCCGGAATAGCAATGTAAACTTTCTAAAATTTTATCATGGTTTGGAACGGCTCTAAGAATGGAATGCTTATCGTGGCCAAGTGTAAATGCAACTTTTACTCTGGTATAATGTACCGCACTTTAATGTGGTATGATACTTTAAATCAATGCTATCAGCAATATGAGTAACTTCTCCCTGCTGAAATACTTGCTTAATGGGAAAACTGACACATCACTTGATGGGTGATAGAATGGAAATTAAAGTAAGAATTTATCCATTAGATGTCGATGAGGTACTGTGAACACATCAAACCTGTATTAGTTTTAGATGTAGTCCTAGCACATAATACAACATTCTGTTTGTTGAGAAGAATGTGTCGACTGTCACCACAGTTTCTCCTATAACCCAGTATTTCTTTGAGAACTTCTTGGAAAACATTTATATTTCAGTGACCTGTGGGGGTGCGATTTGGGGTCCAAAGTGTTCAGAGTTGCAATGAAGTGACACAGAATTGACAGAATTGCAATGAAGTGACACAGAATTGACAGAATTGCAATGAAGTGACACAATCAAGGAATTGAGTCATTTTATAGTTCTGCCAATCCGGATAACTGATGTGGGTTGAGTGGAATCACGAGTAGAACAGAGTTGCCAATAAAATGGCACTGCTTTAAAAGAAATTTAAATTCTCTGTGTGTAGATCGGACAAATCTGTCATTTAAAATACAGATAATCAGTAGCTACAGATAATTATGGTAGGACGAATCCGTAACAAAGCCAGTTTGTCAGTCAGTAGATCATCTTTAAATTGTAAATCAGCAGTACCTTTGAGGTGACATGTTTTTCATCTGAAAGCTGTAGTTAAAGTCACCTTGTGTGGTGTGTTGTTCAAGGGTTTGTAAAGCCAATGGGGTTATCTAAATCTAACCCTTGTGGGTAGAAACACTTCAAAGTACTCATATATTTACCCCATTTGTAAAGAGATTAGCACCAAGATATTCCACACTGACTTTGTTTAATCAAGGCTCAACCATGTATTGACTCAACCAAGGTTATTTATGTTTGCCTCTCGTAGACAATCACTTTATCTACATGTTTTATTCAATGTTAATTTGTTACATTTAAATATTGTCCTCTAAATCCCTTGTTTCATGTTTGTGACTACATTTTGGGTTCAAAATTGCCAAAAAGATTTTTCTAGGGATCACGATTGTCATCTATGCAATGTGATTTCAATTCTATATGCTAGTCCCATTATAAACTAGTTGTGCTCAAGGTAACCTCATTTCATAGTAGAGATGAAATCCCAAGATTACACCAAATTATATATGGTTAGGAAATCGGTCAGAAACAACATGACTGAAATAAAATCAGATACAATTGTTAGAATGTTCAAATGATTATGAATTAGATGTACTCTCGTTAGTTTCATTTTTCATGTGTTATGAAACTGATACACATCTATCCTAATGAGAAGCAATTTATATTAAATGATTTATATTAAAGGTGAAAATTAGTCATCTTAATAATGTCAGTTTTCATGTGGTTTATCAAAATAATATTAATTGTCATGGGACATAATCAGTTAGTGGAATAAGATTACATCTCTATTGCTGAACTTGTCACTGTCGTCTCATCTATTGTGTGTTAGTCGGTTCAGGATGGAAGCTGGGGGCATTATATCTCAGAACATTGGATGGTAAGAAATAAGAACCAGGTCTGATGAGTACACTATTTTATACTGTTATTCTTTATTTTTTGCAGAAACTGCACGAATCTTGCCTGCTAAATATGGTTATTTCCGAACCAGTAAAGAGTATGATCCATGGAAGGGTATTTTGAAGAATTTATACAGCAGAACCTTTAATGCAATTAATACTCAACCTACGTAAGTATTCAAATTTCTATTAGTTACTTCCTCACAAGATTTGATTGACGTTTGAAAAATTAACTTTGTCTTGTTTCATTCCCATTTCATCTAAAGCCATGAGACGGTATCAACACACTATTCCATAAAATTGAAACCAATTTTGAAAAAAGGAGTTTTTGTTCTTTTTCATTCATTACCTGGCTAGTATCTCTAGCTTGAGATTTAATTAGTTTAAGAAAAATTAATGTGAGTTCTCTTTCCATTCAGAACACGTAGGTTAACATTTTATCAGAATCAGTGAGTGGGCACCATTATATATATTAGTTACTACTACACCACTGTGGAATTGAAAACTAAATTGGAATGATGTTTTTTATGGGGGGTTCGTTTAGGATCACAAAGTACTTACAAAAGTATTGCTGTGATATTTCTGTTATAAATTTTCTTTTATATACAATATTCTTATACTTTATTGTAGAAATGCAAAATTAGTTTAATATACATGTATTGTTTATTTATGTGAAAATCATAAACTGAAATATATTACTAACAAAAGTGCAATATTTCTAAACCACAGTTACCAAAAACAATTGGGGCATTGACAAGTATTCAGCAGGAAAATAAATGCCTGCATGTTAGTCTGATATGAACTAAAGAATTTGTATTGTATTGCCAAGATATTGAACCCTTTGACTTTTATTTCCTCAGCAGTATGTTGGAAGTACAGAAAAATTCATGTTCATATCAAACCTAATAGTCCATAAAGATAATAACCATATGTTAATCTCAAAGTGAGATAGATGAACATTAAGCATTATTTATATATTACTACCTATACTATAAATTTAATTTCTATGGGATATTATGTTAGTCAGAAATAGCTAATGTTTATATGAAACATAATCGTGATTGTGTTAAAATCAATATTTATGCAACACAACTAATGATGATATATAACTACACACAATAACACGATGATAATCAATGTAGGCCTACAGTCATAATTATATCTAAAAGGATATCATTATATTTAATGATATCTTAATCTTCCACATGCAAAAATAATCGTGTATCTTAAATAATTTCTTTGTAATGCAGTCTTGATAAATAAATCACAACAAAACTTGTATCAGATGTGTTATAAAAAAAAAAAACAAGATTTATACTCCAGTATATTTTATAGGCTTCTCTATTTAACTAATTTTTATACGCCCACATTTTCATGCGGACGTATATTGTCGTTGCCCTTGTCCGTCAGTCCACAATTGTTTGTGGATACTCTACAGGTCACAATTCTTATCCGATTTTGACATGCTTGAAATATAGGTTTATCATCAAAAGATCACAGTTGCTTTCAATATTGGCATGTATCGGATCGAAACTTTATGGATTATGGCCCCTGATTGTATGAAAAATCACGTTTTTAGCTTGTGGATCCTATAGAGGTCATAATTTTTTATCCGATTTAAAAAAACGTTTTAGTATATCACCGTTACACCCTAAGGATAGTTGAGTTCAAATTTTGTAAAATCGGCTCAAAACTGACAGACAAAATGGCTGCCCCTCGTTCTCAAATAGCGTAAAAATATGGTATATCAATAGGTCACAATTTTCTTCTGATTTTGATGAAACTTGAAATGTAAGTTTATAACCAAAAGTTTGTGGTTTCTTTTGATATCCGCGCATATCAGATTGTAACTTCCTGAATTATGGCCCTTGATTAAACAAAAAATCATGTTTTTAGCTTGTAGTCCCTGAAGAGGTCACAATTTTTATCTGATTTAAAAAAATGTGTGAATATACATGTATCACCATTACACACTAAAATCTTGGATCCTTTTGATAATCGCAGATAACCGAACTCAACTTCCTGGATTATGGACCCTGATTGTTCGAAAAATGGCATTTTTAGCTTATGGATTCTCTAGAGGTCACAATTTTTTTTCCAATTTTAAAAACCGTTTAAATATTTCACCATTCCACCATAATGAAGGTTGAATTTGAATTTCGAGAAAATCAAAATGAAACTGCCCAACAAAATGGCCGCTATTTGTACGCAAATTGTGTAAAAGTATGCAATACGAAGGTTGTCAACCCTCTAGAGGTCACAATTTTTATCCGATTCTGATGGAACTTAAAACATATCTTTATATCCCAAAGATCTGTCCCTTTTGATATATGTGCATTTCGGACCATAATTTTCTGGATATTGCCCCTGATTGTACAAAAAATCCTGTTTGTTTTTAGCTTGTTCTCTATCCTTCTCTTGCAAAATGTGGGCGTATCCCACCTGGCAGTCGCTGGTTCTTAATACTGAAGTCCCTTTAGCTATGAATTTAAAAAAAATCTGGCATTATTTTCGGTAGTTTAAATTTTTCAACAAATTATATTGACTACGTACAATATACAGTATGGTGTAGTTTTCACCATAAAGCATTGGTAATTTCAAACATAACACCTTTAAAAACAAAAAAAATTGGTAATCATGAATAGTTATGACAATTGGTGTTTCTTTATCTAATCTGACTGATAGCGATCTGTTACTTCTTCTGTTAAAGCTGTAAAAAGAGTATTTTATGGCGAATTGCATTCATTTCATCACACATTTATATCAACCAACTTGTCACATTAAATTATATAATAAGTAATCTTAGATGAATTTGTAGAATAACTTCAGTTTTTGTTACAAATTACTTTGTGTTCAAAATCATGCAAATTATATAGAATTTATACATTGGTTTTGTTAAAAGATTACGTTTAATGGAGATGACTCATTGCTAAATACATATACCTTTCTTTATACCTAAAAGAACCAATATTTACAGGAGTTTTGTCTAACTGGTGTCTGTTTAAGTTAATATGTTTAGGAATAGGAAAACCCTAAAGTGTGAAAAAAAGGTTTGGGCCATACATTGTAAACAAAGAACCAGACATTTGGTTCAAACTTGAAACATCAGTAGTTTTATTCATGTGTATAAACATGTTACTCTATTCTTCAATATACAAGAAATTCTGGTTCAACTAGTTTCTTTATAGATCTGTAGAAAAATTTAAAACATATGGTTTAATATGGCAACTTTAATCCTTGTCTTGAGAAATTGCAGTTGCTTCTGATATTACTCTGAAAGTCTTATTCATTTAAAATATTAAAGATTGGTTCCCCACAACAATAATTTGGTCATCTGTTTGACCCTCTGGACTTATCTAAAGGCATGATATTTCCTAATTGGCCTAAAATAAATTAAACAAGTTAATTACTATAGTGCGTCAACCACTGGATATCTTAGCATGTGCAATACTCACACTTTACACAGTACTGCCTGCGCTCATGCCTTCATTGCCACGCATATTTCATATATGTATAATGGCAACTATGTCTTTAGGCAAAGTAGTATAAGGTGGTCCAGAAAGTAAGTCGAGAAAGGATAGAAAATAAAATGAAATGGGGTTTAACATCCTACCTTTATGAACCAACCGTGTCTGAAGACAGGCATATGTCATGTTGTGTGCTATGAGGGAAATTTTACCCAAACAGAGGGGATATGGGTATGCTCTTATTTTGAATTCCAACTGTCAAGGATTCTTTTACATGCACTCCAACATGTACACTGGTCCTTACCAGGTGCTCGCGAAGAAAGGATTTTGTACACCATTTCATTGTCATTCATTTCCAACTTATAACTATAATAAATATAGACTAATGACTTAAAGATACATTATGGGAGATTCGATAACGAGTTGGCAGTTCTCATATAATAGTTAAAAACTAGATAATGTAAAGACAATTTGCTGAAAATTTCATTCAAATTGATCAACTATGAACCGAGAACAAAACAATCGAATTTCTGCCTGACTAAAGTCAGTACGATAAACAGCATAGCGTCGGTGAAGTGTCAAAAGGGTGTATCTCGGGAAATTAGTCAAATACACTTTTTTGCATTTTCAAACTCTCCCAATTAATATGCACATTTCTGTCTAAGCTGTGTGTCTCTATGCCAATTAGAACTGTTCTGGGCATCATGTGTCCAAATGTATCTTAATTTGTGGAAATTTTGAAATAGAAAAGGTTCTATTTCTTAATCTTTAGAAATTCTTAGATACACCCTTTTGACACTTCACCGACGATAGTCTCGATTATCCATTTAATCGTTAAATCGTGGAGGAAAGTTATGCAGTAAATCGGCTCACAATCCACCAAAGATCGCAGGCTAGCGATGCCATCTAGAGTTGATTATGGTCTGGATAGGTTAATTAATGTCTAATTAATAATTTAGATAACATTTCAGGCCTAAAGAATGACCTGCAATAGACAGAATTAGCTCTTAGTCTTGCATAATGTATGTTTAATAAATAATACATTGTATATTTTCAGATATTGTGCACGATTTGTTGTGACCAGTACTCGTTCAGCTTGCAATGTTTCAGCAGCAACAGAACAAAATAGTACATGGTCTGAAGAACTCGTGGAAAATCAAGAAGTTTGCGTAGAATGTCAACCAACAGCCATGGATGTAGAACGCGGATCACGATGTATCGGACACGGAGTATTCGACAAACAAACAAGATGGAGTGCTATCGATGTTCCTCACTGTCATGGAAAATGGATGATGACCTCAAAACATGAAGCATGTGTTTGTGACAAAGAATCTGATATAAATCTTATTCTGATCTAATGAACATTTTAGCAGCTTCATGCTGGTCTTGTGACTTATTATTATGGTTTAGGAAAATATGGTGTATATGAGGCTTCGAAAAGATTACCAGGATTTGTCAGTGGATTTGTTTGGAATAAATGTTCAGAAATGATTGAATTGAATTTTTTTCATCATACAAAATGAATTAATTTAAAGGTTCACTCTCGCTTTTAGACCAGTTTATACTAGAATGGAAAAAATGATTGATGTTTAATTTATTAGATCTTTTATTTTGAAATATACATTATACATATGATGTACGTAGCCTCCACCACTATCACCATTCTGAATCTACTTTTTTAGTGCTGTATTACTACTCACAAATTATTTCTCATTACATAGTGCATTTACATTATCTTGTTGTTAATCAAAAAAAAAATGTTTTATATAATTCATGTTTGTATAGAAATGAAAGGGTTAATTTAAGACATATTATTCTTTTTACATCTTAATAATAACTGGCCTAGCAGGTTACCATCGTCACTGTTAGTGGTACCTGTCCTGCTTAGAAACATTTGATATGTGCAGACTTAAACCATCAAAGAATCTTTTTATGTCATATTTTGTACCTAAACTTATGAATGATTTTTAGTTCTTGTATATATGCAATAGTGGTTATTTTGTTTTTACCTCTTTTTTTGGTGCTATAGTGTAAGTCAACTTGTGGATACTTTGGCCAGTATTTGTACGTAAATTCTTGAGATAAGATCTGCCTGTTCACCATGCGCCATATTATTATACATATTTCCTATTGCATACTGATCAATTAAACCTTAAATCTGATATTTTATTTGTATAATTTTTAATTATTTGTAAATAAAAAAATATTGCCATTTGAATTATTCTAACCCTAGATAGAGATTTTTTTCATATAAAATTGTAAAATGTATATGTCACAGTCACACCCTCCCTTACTTTTTCTTCTGGATCATCATTTTGTAATTAAATGTATAAAACAATATTATTTGTAAATTTTTTTACTATATTGAATGATATTGATCTTTATAGAAGTTATAATTGGGAGTTTTGAGAAGATTGATAATGCAAACAAGTTATGCCATTCATATTATTCTGTTCAACAAATTTTTGGTTGGTAGTATTTTTTTTTTTTTTTTTTATGTCTAGCAAACAATATTTATAACATTATTGAATGAATTTGCTAAAAGAAATATATATTATTCATGTTTTTATAACAGCTCTACCAAGTAAATTTAGAAAATGAGTCAAATAACGCAGAAATTCAGAAAAATTTTGATGAAAGGTTTTAATTGTTGAAATATCTAAGCAAAAAAAATCAAAATAGCAATACCTCATTTTTACTGTATATTACTTTCAGTTTATACAAAGTATGGAATAATAATGAATTAACATCATGGTTTTTTTTTAAATTGAATGATGTTTTGTAAAAGATCTACTTGTATACAGTTAAAAAAATTATAAATATATTGACGTCTATTTGGATATGTATTATTATACTATCAAATTTATTTATTTGTATAATTTTTTATTCAGTTTTGTCACTGATTCAAAGGTGCTTATTTTGCAGTTTATGCTGGGAAGAAGAACATTTGAGTGTAAACTTCAGCCCAGTATATCTGTGATACATTTTTTTTTATTATTTTTAATGAAAGAATACTAATTTGAAAAATGTTATTAAATATTGATTTTAATGATTAATAGAATATTATTGTATTATGTTCATGTTTAATAGTAAGGATGTACCAAAAAGAGCCTTTAACAAATTCTTTCAAAAACTTTATAACAATTGATAAACTTATAAGGCTGGTTTCCATGTGTGGTTTAAGTGCTTGGAATTGCACAATCCACTTGAGTAATGCTGTAAGCAAATGTGCGTTTCCATTAAAATTCCATAACTTACATAATGCTGTGTTTGAGGTTGTTCTGCATTATTGTCATTGATGGACTTTTTTCATCAACTAACAGGTTTGCAATTACATTACCAATGTCATTGATGGGAGTTTTTTCAAAGATGCCATAATGAAGTCGCAAATACTTAACGCCTGTTGTGGAAACCAGTCTATATTTAGATGTATATACATATAGTGCATTTAATCCCATTATTATATTAAAGTTAATAGATGTATCCGCTTTTAAGTATTAAATGTGATTGGATTTCATCACTTTTTAGCATTTATTTCATTAGAAATTTATCACATTATACACACAAAGTAATTGAGACAAAAAGTTTAAAAATTTGTCATTTGTTCATAATATTATCGTGTAAAAGTTTCTCTGTATTATCATAAGTGATCTATAAATAGGCATGACATTAATTGTACTGTACCTCAGGCTGAGCACCCACACGTCACATCATGTACATACTGTTATTGCTTTTCAATATTCCCTCCTTCCTCCCTCTCCCCATCCACCACAGATCATTGTAGAGTTATTATTTTAGATTCGTGTATTTTAAAGACTGGCTCTTTATTTCTGTATTAATCACTTGATGTATTTCTATATAAATAAATACCTTTCTTTCTTGTACTCTCTTGTTTTTTGACAGCACACAGGTCACTCATTTCAATCATGCCAGTCTGTAATAATTTGCATGGAAATGACCACCTGAAAATCTATGTCTGTCAGCTGATCTTTTCACCTGAAAATTCCAACTATTGAATCACCATGGATGGATAGCTTTCTCATTGACATTATATCATGTCAGGTCTATTTAACTGCATTTTAACAGCATTTTTTATACACGTAAATGGCCAAGTTTACGCAATATGATGACTGCCTCTCATTGATGTAAAATTCAGTAACTGTGAAATGATCAACTAATGCATCAAAAAGTCTTATACAGTATCTTTAAAAAATTACACATGAAATTCCCATCATGGAATGAAATTTGGAGTTTTTCAGTGTCAAAAACTTTGACTTAAAAATTAAGAAATTGCTTTAATGTAAATGTGCACAAATTGACTGAGTGGCAAAATATTAAAGTGAATTCTGACTTTCTTTGAGATTGACAGAATTAGGTCGTCCAATTTCCAATAGCCTTGCAGATTTCCTCTGTCATTGATGCTTCCTAATGTAAAATGCTGGGCTGACTTACTGGTTGATAATTTGAATGAATTTTGATACATTCCATAAATAAGTTTTAAAAACTTCAAAATACACCAAAATGAAATCACCACCAGGTAGTCTATTTGATTGATACCCACAGGGTATGGTGGCTCAGTGAAGAAGACATACCTCGCTAACCTGGAGGTCGGTGCAGAACAGTAGGACGTTAAACGGCATTTCATTTCCACTATTGAACATCGCTGTTTTGTGTTTTGTATTAGGCCTACCCAATATATTTTAAAGTTATTCTATTCTTCAGTTGCCAGTAACTTCTATTATGGCTGTAAATAGAAAAAGAAACATTTCAGTTCATTTACAGATAGGCCTATTGCATAAAATTTGATAGCCTACTCAACAAAGCCAGAAGGGGCCCAAATATAGGGTTCGAATCTCAGCTTGGGTCAAAACAAACCTTCAAGATTTCTTAGTAGGTGGAAATGCATCAGTCCTGGTTAAATAATTGTCGCTCGCAATGCCAGATAAGAATAGAATAAAAATGTTAAAAGTGTCACAAGTAATGCATCAAAGAAATGAAATGAAATGGGGTTTTAGGTCTTACTGTTCTGCTCCTACTGGGCTAATGAAGACGGGCATACGCCATTCAGTGTGCTATGAGGAAAATTTTGCCCGGACAGTGGCACTATGGCCTACTCGTATCGAATTCCAACTGCCAAGGGATCTTTTATGTGCACACCAATGTATACACAGGTCCTTGGTTTTCCATCCCATCCGAATGACTAGACAGCTGTCCTTGTCAGGCCCTCCATTCTGCACCACTGACAAGGGGAAACCACGTCGGAAAATCCTGATAAACTTTCTCGGCCATTGCAGGGATCAAACCCATGACTTCCAGGCTAGCGAGCCACATCTTACCCACTTGGCCACCCTGGTTTCATGCATCAAAGTGGTTAGGTTAATTGGGGATTTAATGTCCGCTTGAACCCGGAGTGATATCCAATGGCGTGCCACTATTGGTTTAAGTGGGGCATATCCAATCCAATCGGGTTGAGGGAGGTGGATGGCCAAATTGTTAGCGTGTGCGTGTTGTATTATACTATTCAAAAAAAGTAGGGGATATTTGATTTTTAAGTGTTATTAAAGTCACCTAATGAAACTGACGAAGAAACAAATGACAAAATGAAATGAAGTTCACATTCATCGATTTATTCCAAATGATCGTTAGACAAAGTAAGGCACAGACTGACCATTATAAGGGTAAAATGATACCCGGGGTCAAACAGCAAAGTTACCACAGCATCACAACCAAGTCAGTAACGGGTAAATCCTCCTCTGTTTGCCAAACAAGCATTGATCCGACGTGGCATACTCCTAATGAGACGTCTAAGGTCATTTTGGTCCAGATTGTCCCATTCCTGTTGCAACGCAGCAGCAAGTTCTTGGACATTGGCAGGACGTTGTTGACGTTGACGTAACCTCTGTCCAAGCATGTCCCAGACATGCTCGATGGGGGAGAGGTCGGGACTCAGTGCTGGCCAAGGTAATGTGGTGATGTTCTGTTGTTGGAGGTAACCTGTAACGATCCTGGCCCTGTGACATCTTGCGTTGTCATCCTGGAAGATGAAACGGCGGCCATGACGTCGTGCGAACGGCACAACATGGACTGCCAAGATGTTGTCCCGGTAGTACTGGCCTGTAACACGCCCTGCAACAACATGTAAAGCCGTTCTTCCATAAATAAGTTTTAAAAACTTCAAAATACACCAAAATGAAATCACCACCAGGTAGTCTATTTGATTGATACCCACAGGGTATGGTGGCTCAGTGAAGAAGACATACCTCGCTAACCTGGAGGTCGGTGCAGAACAGTAGGACGTTAAACGGCATTTCATTTCCACTATTGAACATCGCTGTTTTGTGTTTTGGATTAGGCCTACCCAATATATTTTAAAGTTATTCCATTCTTCAGTTGCCAGTAACTTCTATTATGGCTGTAAATAGAAAAAGAAACATTTCAGTTCATTTACAGATAGGCCTATTGCATAAAATTTGATAGCCTACTCCACAAAGCCAGAAGGGGCCCAAATATAGGGTTCGAATCTCAGCTTGGGTCAAAACAAACCTTCAAGATTTCTTAGTAGGTGGAAATGCATCAGTCCTGGTTAAGTAATTGTCGCTCACAATGCCAGATAAGAATAGAATAAAAATGTTAAAAGTGTCACAAGTAATGCATCAAAGAAATGAAATGAAATGGGGTTTTAGGTCTTACTGTTCTGCTCCTACTGGGCTAATGAAGACGGGCATACGCCATTCAGTGTGCTATGAGGAAAATTTTGCCCGGACAGTGGCACTATGGCCTACTCGTATCGAATTCCAACTGCCAAGGGATCTTTTATGTGCACACCAATGTATACACAGGTCCTTGGTTTTCCATCCCATCCGAATGACTAGACAGCTGTCCTTGTCAGGCCCTCCATTCTGCACCACTGACAAGGGGAAACCACGTCGGAAAATCCTGATAAACTTTCTCGGCCATTGCAGGGATCAAACCCATGACTTCCAGGCTAGCGAGCCACATCTTACCCACTTGGCCACCCTGGTTTCATGCATCAAAGTGGTTAGGTTAATTGGGGATTTAATGTCCGCTTGAACCCGGAGTGATATCCAATGGCGTGCCACTATTGGTTTAAGTGGGGCATATCCAATCCAATCGGGTTGAGGGAGGTGGATGGCCAAATTGTTAGCGTGTGCGGGTTGTATTATACTATTCAAAAAAAGTAGGGGATATTTGATTTTTAAGTGTTATTAAAGTCACCTAATGAAACTGACGAAGAAACAAATGACAAAATGAAATGAAGTTCACATTCATCGATTTATTCCAAATGATCGTTAGACTAAGTAAGGCACAGACTGACCATTATAAGGGTAAAATGATACCCGGGGTCAAACAGCAAAGTTACCACAGCATCACAACCAAGTCAGTAACGGGTAAATCCTCCTCTGTTTGCCAAACAAGCATTGATCCTACGTGGCATACTCCTAATGAGACGTCTAAGGTCATTTTGGTCCAGATTGTCCCATTCCTGTTGCAACGCAGCAGCAAGTTCTTGGACATTGGCAGGACGTTGTTGACGTTGACGTAACCTCTGTCCAAGCATGTCCCAGACATGCTCGATGGGGGAGAGGTCGGGACTCAGTGCTGGCCAAGGTAATGTGGTGATGTTCTGTTGTTGGAGGTAACCTGTAACGATCCTGGCCCTGTGACATCTTGCGTTGTCATCCTGGAAGATGAAACGGCGGCCATGACGTCGTGCGAACGGCACAACATGGACTGCCAAGATGTTGTCCCGGTAGTACTGGCCTGTAACACGCCCTGCAACAACATGTAAAGCCGTTCTTCCAGCAACAGTGATGCCTCCCCACACCATAACAGAACCACCCCAAAATCGATCATGTCTGATGACGTTAACGTCTTGGAAGCACTCGTTTCGACGACGCCACACCCTCCTACGTCTGTCCAAAAAATCAACAGTGAACCTTGACTCATCTGAAAACATCACATTGCTCCAGCGTCGATTATCCCAGTGTTGACGATCCCTACACCAACGACGTCTTGCCTGAATGTGATGATCTCTCAAACAAGGGATCACGTGAGGACGTCGGGCGCGAAGGTGACCCCTATGCAGTCGATTCCGAATCGTCTGGCCACTCACTCTCACACCAGTGTCTGTTTGAAGACGAGCGCTGATCTGATTTGCTGTGATGACACGATTTCTCAAGGCCAAGGTACGGATAAATCGATCCTGGGCTTGAGTTGTCGCCCTTGGTCGACCTGAGCGTGGTCTGTCCTGTACAGATTGTGTATCACGGTATCTGGACCATAGCCTGCTTATGACAGACTGAGAAACATTCATCGTCCGCACCACAACCGCCTGTGTTGTGCCGATCTGTAGCATGCCAAGGGCACGTAACCTTTCATTTTGGGTAAGCCGACGCATATCAAAATTTGTTTTCTGGTCACTAAAACAATTAAACTGATGTTTCCACCCTGGAATTCAATGCCACAATGACTGTAACATTCAAAGTCAGAGTCGTGCAAATCTTGGGTTGGACCCCCATGATGATCCCAAGCATCACCTGCATTCCATGCGGTAGCTATTGGTGAGTTTGGGCGTCACATGTAACTGGAAATGTTTCTTCTGTTAGGTTCTATAGTGACTTTGTTCGTAGTCATTTGCATATTTTAGTATTATGCCCCCAAAATCAAATATCCCCTACTTTTTTTGAATAGTATATAAGGTTTGTCATTGCATTGAGTCAACTCATGTGGTTTCGATTCCCTGGTTGTACCTGACAAGGAGTAGGGTTGCCTGTCCAACCAAGAGGGTTTTTTCCAGGTCCCTCGCTTTTTCCACTGCTAAGCTAAAGACCCCTAGCCTACGCTCAAGCGAATTATTAAAATAAAATTGAATCATATATTAGTCCAGAAATGAACTAGTTTGTGTCAAGTGGATGTTAAACCCCATTTCTCTCGCTCTCTTTCCAATTCAATCGAAGAGTGACATTCAAAATATTCTGACAGTAGCCTACTACAGTTCCGTACTAGGCCTCAGTAACTTATCTTGAGTAAGCTTAGAACTAGAAGTTAGTAAAGTAGAACAGTCAGTGGAACTAGAGAGTTGCTAGAGATCTCATTTGTACGGGCACCAAACTTAATAAATGTGGTTTATTTATTTCTAATTTGAATAAAAAGTTTATTTCATTGGTTATTACATATAGGATATTTAAAATTTCTACTATCTTCCTTTCTCAGCATTAAACCCTGTGTTGGGTCAGCTAATCAACCTCAAACTCAAACCTTCGCACGCCACTGGTAATATGTGCTAGCAGACGAAGTGGTGAAAGAGAGACAACTCCACTGAAGAGTTTTAAGAAAAAATACCTTTAATGGAGTTACCTCCCTTCAAGTGCTGACTGTAAAAGATCATCATCATCATCCATCGCCGTTGCAACAGAATCATAGCCAAATGTTAAAATATAAAGAAATAGTCCCTCATCATGATATATTGTTCTGTTTAGATAAGATAAACATGAACTATGTTAAAAAAAAAAAATGGCTCGACTCGGTAGACTAAGGGAAATAACTCTAAAAGAAAACAAAATGGCAACCTCCATGAAAAACATTTCTCCGATGAAAAATTAGATAACATTAATTAGTTAATGTACATATCTATTTACTTTATGATTGAATCAATGTTCGAGATATACTACTGTTGTCTATATATTCAACCCATGTCTTTGTTTGCTTTGTGTCTGATAGCGAAAAAAAAATTTACAAGTTGATCTGCTCCGACTGGGCTAATGATGTCGCCTAATGAAGACGTGCATACACCATACATGATACAGTGTAGGCCTACTATGAGAGAAATTTTGCCCGGACAGCGGCGCTACGGCCTACTCTTACATCAACTTGCAACTGCCAATGTGTAGCCTACATGGGACCTCCCATCCAAACAGTAGCTGAGTAGGACGTTAAACCCCGCGCATTTTATTTCATTTTCATCTCATCCAAACGACTAGACAGCTGTCTTTGTCATGTCCTCCGTCATGCACCACTGACAAGGGGAAACCATGGCGTAAAATCCCGACCGATGACATCCAGGCTAGCGAGCCAGCATCTTACTCACTTAGCCACTGATGAATAGCCTACGTGTAACTACTGTTCTTGCACTATAGACTGTAGTAACTAGTATGGGAATTTGGGAAATGATTTAATATAAGATCTGCTCTTTCCCCTGCCTATCTACAAAATACTTTTTCAGATGTTGTGCTCAAAACACTAAGCTGAACATATATATATATATATATATATATATATATATATGTCAACTTTCTAACCTCTCATGGCAGACAAGATAGGCACACATTGATAGATGAAATTCTGAGATTATATATTGACATTAGTAGCCAGGCCTAGATATGTCAAGAGACACACCTCCCGGCTAATGTCACCATTGAAACAGTCGTGGTTACTGGCTGGGGTTTAGTCAACAGAATGACAGATTTGATGCAATATGTTTACTGATCTAGCACACTATACTAGTACTATTTGGTACAATGTGCACTCATCTATTTTTTTATTATATATTATTCAGATAAAAATGAGGATCTTCAGATATAACAAATTCCTGATTTCAACTTACCAGAAGTTGTCCGGTTACAGAAAATATACTACAACTGATCAGATATATGATGTGATTGTTGTGGGAGGGGGACATGCTGGAACAGAGGCGGCATGTGCATCAGCTCGGATGGGTGCCAGTACACTGTTAGTCACACACAAGAAAGATACTATTGGTTTGTATATAAAGTCATGCACACCACACAAGCAAAATACAAAATGTCTGATTTTTTGTCAAGCCTTTTTAATATCTACATGTATGTTGATGATTGGTGGCCAGGAGAGAAAGATATCATAAGGCACTGTGGGTTTTTTCCCAAACTGTCCATATTTCTTTGGTTATTTTTACAAAGATGCATCACTGAAATGCCTTCCACTGTATATTGTTCAAAACCTAAATTATTTTCTTTTCCAAACATTTATCCCTAATCTTTCTGTGACTTATTTATCCAATGTGTATGCTACCTCAAGGTTTTTCTCTAGGTCCTCCAGTTTCCTGCACAGCTAAACACCCTTGCGCTCAAGCAAATTATTGAAATAAAATTGAATCTTGTTAGTCCTGAAATGACCTAGTTTGTGTCGATTGGACATTTCTTTCTCTCTCTTGTTTTGCTCACAATTTTCAAAATACAAGTCATAAATTTTCTAAGCTAATCTTTAGAAAAAGGTGGATAGGTAAGCTTTCAATTGATGTATATTGTTAGGTGATTAGAAACAAATCTTTGTGAACTATTCAAGATTCGGAAATCTTGCCAGCTCTCAAAAGGGTGATCTAAATTAGACCCAGGTACATTAAAAAAGACTATGGAAAGAGTCGGGCATTGCAGACTAATACTGTAAGAAGGAATCTCGGCTGTGCAGACAACAGAATCATGTCTAGTTTTTTAGACATGCAAAAAATCTAAACATTTTGTACCCGTTAGAATTCAAGAAAAAATAGACCGAAATGCTTCTCTTTCTCCTGGCAAAATCTCCAGCCTTAGGACTATAAAACAGCTATCATTTTTTCGTGTGTGAAAATTCATTAATATCCTTTAGAATCATCCAAAAGCATCTGGTTTGTACTGAAGTCCAGCATCTAACTTACAATGGTTTAATTTCCTGAGCAGTGTTAAAAAATAAGCGGCTCTATTAACTATGAAAGGTGATTATTTATTATTAGCTGTACTGTCCAGTTCAAGTACCAAGTTTTAGAACATATGACAAAGTTTAGATTCTCTGTACATCATATAAATGTGTAGATTTTTTAAATACTGAACCAGACCAGTAGAATATTTTTAGTGCTGATAAAATGACAGAGACGTGAAAATGTACAAACTGTCTAATAACTAGTTGGAAACATCCAAAAAAAGCTGCAATGCATGTAACTGAGGTAAGAAATACATTATTGAACAATTCCACAGGTATTTTGGAGCATAAACACACAAGGAACCATAGATTGGATTATACATAAGTTATCTGGATACAACAACTACAAGAGATCATAATATGAGATATGAAGTTTTCATTTTTTAAAAAAACCCAATATCTAGTTAATGTAAAACTATTCCAGAAACAATGGCAGAGAAATCTGCCTCTTGTTATCATCCAATCAAGTTGTATTTCTAACTAGTTTTTTGAAACACAATACATAACATGTCAGTTCTTCTCTTTGATTAAGACAGTTGATTAAATGTATTAAAAGATGGTGAAAATATTGTTCGTTTGCTGTATGGTCAAACAGATGATAAAAAGATTCCACATGCAGCGATTACTTTGTAGCTATTTTGGATAGCCTTGTTTGTCACACAATTATTTTTTCTGCAATATTCTGCTATGCACTGGTTAATATTGAACGTAATAAATTTTTCCCGTTGTGACGTAAAGTAGCTTCAAATGACATTATTTTCCTTTATGTAAACATATTTAGAGCTCTGGTTAATCCTAATTGATTTTGTTACGCTGTAATGTATTGATTGTTGATCTGACTGTTGACCAGTCATATTTTGGGACATGTATTTGAGTGGGATTAGGTCTAATCAAACGAAACACTGCGAGGAGTATGATGTGACTACTACTCGTGACTTTCTATAATAACTGCAATTTCTAATGTGCATCAAATCTGTTAATTCAGTTAATTTTCATATTTTCTAGTATCATTGGTTAACTTCAGTAATGGTCAGCTGTGGATTTGGTTCAATCATCCATGGTAAAGCTGGTCTTCAGTAATGGAAGGAGATTGTAAAACAGTGTTATAAATCTGAATGTTTCTGTATTGTCAAAGCAAGTTAAATAAAAGAAATCACGTCATAAAAAGTTTTCCAAGACCAGTGGTGTATGCAAGTGGCAGGATTACTTTTTTGCTTTTAACAGTTTTATGGGCTGACTTTTTTAGAGCTTCTGATACGCATTTTTTATTCGTTTCATCATGTTTCTTTTTGTTTTTGTTTTTGTTTTACTGTTGTCAATTCTTAGTATTTACTATTTTAGTTTTTGCTTTTTCCTGAAATTCATTTATTATTAGTTATTGTTATTGTATGTTTTTCTGTTTAACCATTTCAGAATTTATTACTTGATTGATAGTTAAGTTTTAATTTATTTTTAGTAATTTTTACTTAAATTTGTTAAGTTTTATTTACTTTTATTTTAGTTTTTCATTTATTATTAATTAGGCCTATTGTTTGTTATTTATAACTCTTTTAGTTTTTCTGGTTCAACATTTAAAGAATTTAGCCTTGGTTGTTCCTTAATTATAACTAACTTGTTTTTGTTTATTTATTTGCTAGTTTGGCCCTTTAATTTTCTACAAGCAACATTCTACCGACCTTGTCATAAGTCCGACAACTATAATCAGAATCTTCATATTTCTGTGGAATGTATATACATGTCTACATACGTTGATTACTTTAATAAATATCATATATTGACTTTGTTTTGGTTTTATTTGTTGCTAGTTGCCAAAAACTGAAATCAGTTTGTGGTCCTTATCATGTTGACAATATATACAGAGGTTATGATTGATCGGATGTTGTGTGGCCGAATGGTCTAATGCATGTATTTTAGATCATGTGTCATCGAGTCAAGTGGCATGGTTTGGATTCCCAGCATGTATGTGACAAGATGGTCATCTGTGCAACCTCATAGGGTTTTTACAGGTCCTCCGCTTTTCTCCAACTGCTAAAAAACCCATGCACGCAAGCAAATTATTAAAATAAAATTTGACCCATATGTTAGTCCCAAAATGACCTAATTTCTGTTGAGTGGATGTTAAACCCCATTTCTCTCTATTATTGATTGTTGACGAAAATGTTATTTTCTAGTAGCGATTGCTCTGATATTCATTACTTCGGGAAATAATAACAGTAGTGACAGATACGTTGTGAGCAAAAAAAAAAATCCAACATGACAGATATATAGACATCTGTGTCGCAGGATTTGCACCGAAAAATAATCCCCTGATGTACCGTCATATTGACACTAAAAAATTATCCCAAGACGTGCCAGACATGCAATCATCTGTCATTGTATTGGTTACTTCAATATTCCTGCTGTATCTCAACACGATCCAACAGGACAGTTCAGCTAATGATTAATCTCCTTTCATAATTAACCTGCTCTGAAAATAAAACACTTGTAAATTGGATGTTTGTTATCAAAATGAATTGGACCCAAAGAACAAACCCGATGCTTTTGGGCAGATCCAGAGGGGTTTTTTTTTGGGGGGGGGGAGGCTTGGGCACTGGGGGGAGGCTTGGGCCTCCTGTTTTCATTCCACTGCTATAAAAACCTCTACGCAAAAGTGAATGATTGAAATAAAATTGAACCATGTGTTATTCCCAAAATGACCTGATTTGTGTTAAGTGGATGTTAAACCACATTTCACTCCCTCTTTCTAATTCCACCTTCAATTTAAGGTCATTCATCTGTTTCTCTTTTCTCCTTTTTATAGGTGAGATGTCTTGTAACCCATCATTTGGAGGAATAGGAAAAGGTCATTTGATTAAAGAGATTGATGCTTTAGATGGTGTATGTGGTAGAATTTGTGGTGAGTTGGATTTTGATATTGAACTTTTAAGTTGTTACAGTATTTTCATATGCAGGATTTTGGATGGCCGATTGTAGGTCTGTTACTATTTGGATCCTGTAGTTGTTGGTAGGAGTACAGCCTGACCTTGGGTCTTTTTCTCTGGTTTCCTTCCAATATTATTAAAGAACTCCTGCAATAGAGATATTAGTGTCAAAATGAACTAATTCTGTTGAAATGACATTACACTTCTATTTCTCTGAGGGGGTTGGGTGGCCAAATGGTTTAAAACATGCATATTTGATCACAAGGTCTGTCATTGAGTCATGGGGGCATGGTTTTGAATCCTAGCTTGTAAATGGAGTAGGGTCACCTGTCCAACATTGTGGTTTTTCTCTGGGTCCTCTGATTTCCTCACACAGTAAAGACCCCTACATGCCAGCAAATTATTGAAATAGAATTGAACTATATATTAGTCCCCAAATAACCTAGTTTGTATCAAAAGTGGGCATTAAACCTTTTATTAATTCATATCTCTTTGAATATCAGATCCAGTTCTGTTTAATTTGATTTTATGGTTTATTACCTGGATTCAAGTAATACCTGCACTAATTATCTAATAATGCATTAGATTTTCTCTTCCCTTCATTTAGACAGTTGGTATGTAACTGGAACCAGTCATTCATAATCACAATTTCAAATTGATGAAGCTCACAGTAGCCACAGAGTTGTTCTAGATCGAGTCAAACTCGTTCACTTGAACATGAAAAAGATTGAAACTAACGAATTATTTCTTATACATATTAGATTTATCTGGTGTTCAGTTTAAAATACTTAATAGAAAAAAAGGACCAGCAGTATGGGTAAATATGATTATTTTATTCATATCAAAAAAAAATCATTGAGATCTCTGTATCAAAATGTTTTTTTTATTTCGTTATGTTATAATTGAAATGGTTGGAATTCTGATCCATATTCTGACTAGATATCAAAATCTGCTTACCACTCCCACGCATAACTTTTATTGCAAGTTTAATGAAGAAAGAAAGGAAAGAGTTCAGGAAATCTATAGTGTTAGATGAAATTAGTGAACAGATTATGGAACTGCTTTATTATTTCATTTGATTATTGAGTTTGTAATAGAATTTTTGGGGAGTAGGCCTAATTAAAAATACATTTATTTGTACATTAAGTTAATTGCATTTGTATCTAGATTTGTATTTTTTACTAGGGTCCAAGAGCTCAGATTGACAGAAAGTTATATAAAAGTCATTTACAAAAAGAAGTATTTAATACTAAAAATCTGACGATACTAGCTTCACCTGTTGAAGATCTGATATTATGTGAAGTCACTGTTCCAGATAATAATGTAATGAAACATACTTGTCATGGTATCATTTTAGGTAAATATTATAATGAATGCATCTGCCTGGCTAACGGTTAACCATCATTTTTGTTTTCTGGAATTTTTTCAAATCCAGCGATGAGCAACCAAGTGAAAATTCAGTTTCACAGAATTCAATGTAAACTCTTTGCCCCCCCCCTCCCTTTCTTTAAAAATATTGTTGATCATAGTAAAAAAGGGATATTTAAATTTTTTTTACACTTCTGACACAAGTCCTGTCCATTCAAAACTCTGGCCAATTTCTTGATTCCCTGTGATATAGATTTTCCTCCTGAGTGACACAGGTTGGATTTGGTATCCAGTCAAAACTAGGGAGCGATAGTTATCTCTTAATCGAATGTTGACACGGTTTTGGGAACATTGAGGGGTTTAAAGTTTAAATGTACTAAACCAAAAATTTACGCAGGCTTCAATGTTTATGGTAAACGGACAGTAAGTAATGACAAATACATTCTGGAAATGAGCCCTCCCTCAATCAAGTTACAAACATGGCTTTTGAAAATTGTTTTTTTTATATCTTGGAGTATTTCCTCATGAATACAATGTTTTGAGAGGGATTTATAGCAAATTTTTTGATAGATTAATTAGTTTGAATATGTTTTCAGTTCAAATGTATCATCCTAACCACCGACTGTTCCATAGTGCATGGAATGGCATTTGTAGCAGTCTAATTATCAAATCTTTCAGACGGAGGATCCCAAGCCCTGCCGTTGATGCACTTTTCACATCGAGGGCGCTCACGCACGGACGTCTCCAATGCTTACATCTACTTGGGCCATAATTATTGTTCCCCCTGGGCTTGATTGTTCACACCAAGTCCTGACTCTGGCCTGGTTAAGGACGACTATCCACAAAGCGATTCTTGTTGGCACAAAATTTTACACCTGTCGAGTATCATGGCATCTACATACGATATTCTATGGCAGTGAATAGATATTAGTATAGGATCAAACTTGTTTTGTTAAAACCGATAAAAAAAAAAACATATATGATTTGTCGATTTTGTGGTAAACTTCGACCTACTTTAAAACGATTTGAATCTAGTGGTTGTTAAATGTTTAATTCCACGATTTGTCAACGTGTTAACCCTTATTATAAACCATTAAAACATTTGAAAAAAGAAACAAAATACTGTTAGAATTTAATAGAAAAATATTGTAAAAATTAAACATGTATAAGATATAGTGCTGATAAACATAAATTGATTTTATAAAAGTTAGTTCAAATCAAACACAGTAGGACGTTAAACCCCATTTTATTTCATTTCATTTAAAATCAAACACATATTTTACAGAAAATGGAGAAAGAGTTGAAGGGAAAACAGTTGTTTTAACAACAGGAACATTTCTAAGAGGAACAATTAATATAGGATTAAAAAGTCGTCCTGCTGGAAGGATGGGAGATGAGGCAGCTATTGGATTAGCCAAAAGTTTAGAAATGGCTGGCTTTAATCTCGGGAGATTAAAAACTGGTTGGTGTATTTTATTTTGACGATAAAAATTACATAAGATTTTATTGAATCAAGACACCACTTATGAGCATTATACCTATTTTTAAAACTACGAAAATGGTACGAAATAGCAAAAATCTTTTGTAGTTAATGTAAATGATATGTTAAATTTGTTCCATCAGAGAACCAGACAAATATAAATATATAAGTTTTGAATCAACAACTCCAAGTTGAAGGTTGAGTTGAGCTTTAGCTAGAGCGTTTTGATTACATTTATAAAATGTATTATTTGGCATTTAAAGGTACGCCTCCTCGACTTGAAAAACATTCAATAGATTTTAGTAAAACTACTGCGATGTCTGGTGATGATGTACCTGTTCCATTTTCTTTTATGAATGAATCTGTGTGTGTAAAGGTAAGTGTGTACTGGTTATATTAAAATACAATTTAAATAAAACTGTATGATATTTTCTTTCTGTGTTTTCGGTTGGTCTCTCCATGAACATCTATATGGTTAAGAAAAACATATACTGGGCCTGTAATGACAGCATGATATCAATTGTCTCCATATTCAAAGCCTTTCAAATGATTTTGGTTGTTAGCAGGTTTTGATTGGTAGGGTAAACTGAGGTAAACCAATAACAATATGCGCATTATAACTGAATGCTTCCTGAAGTGGAGTAAACATTCAAATGTTGGTATGGTTTGAATTAAGCTGTTTAAAATGAACAAATTCGGCAATACTATATACTGGAAAACACCGGAAACACCGGAAAACAACCGGAAAACACCATTTTATACTGAATACCGGAAAACACCGGAAAAACAAAAAATTCGAATTTTTCTGAAAAATTGGTTTTACAAAAAAACATTCCGTAGAAAATAATTTTACAGAGAAAAATACTGGAAAAAAATTTAGAATTTTTTTTCTCCAAAATTTTGGAGAAGAAATTGTTTAAAAAAATCTGAAAATTCCGATTTTTTTTTCTCCAAAATTTGTTTGACGAAAAAAATTTTCTGTCACAAAAAAAAAAATTCGAATTGGTTTTACAAAAAAACATTCCGTAGAAAATAATTTTACAGAGAAAAATACTGGAAAAAAATTTAGAATTTTGTTTTGAGAAAAAATTTTGGAGAAGAAATTGTTAAAAAAAATCTGAAAAGAAATTTTTCTTTGACTGTAGGCGATCGCTCGATTGTATGTTAATGAACTTATTTCATCAGCGCTCACCTGGTCCAAAACCACACACGAGGATCAAACTCCGGGTTACTAAATAGCGACCGGAAAACTTAGAAGAGTAAACTGTGCCCGAGATTTTTTTAGAGAGCGGGCCACGCCGTGCCGCTCCGGGAGAGATCATCGTCAGAGTGGGACGGGGGTGGAATTGTCCAGTCACGTGACGAACATAGATCTCTCGTTCCTCAAGCCATATTATTTCTACAGTCATTGTCATTTTAAATCACAAATTACGGGATGATATACGAAAATGCAGGTTTACTTTGAAATAGTGCAAATGATACTTTTCCATCTACAATCTTCAGATCAAAGGATGCAAGTTCTTACACAGTGCAGTATAATTTATGCAACAGAAGACATCTCGAATATCGATTGTCGGAAAAAACAATTCTCGGGGACATTTTTTTCCGAATACGCATTCGGTGTAAGTCTTCAGCCACCAGGAAGTGGTTAACATAGTAATGTTTTATTACGATAGTAGTACATAAAACAAATTGGTTGCCGGAGGTTCTCTGGGAGAAAGTAGCCTCATCGGCTAGAGTCCTCTATTTCACAAACAAAAACAACAATTGCTTCCTTGAAAATTTATCGATCAACCCTTTTTACAGACGTCCAGCTTACCACTTCCCGTCAATGTAGTAAGATAGAATATGTACTTTTCTCATGGACAATTGGACAAAAGTTGGGGTTTTCTCAAGGAAAACTGGTCAACAAGTTGGTTAAAAAAAGCTCGAAAAGTAATCCAGAAAAAAATCATGTGTGCGGCCCTCGGAATATGATGGAATATGTTGAATATTATTATGATTCAAGTGATTATATCTGATCCTGGAATGAAAGTAAGCTCAGAAACAAGTAGATTTTTAGCCCTTCCAACGAGATGGATAGCTCTTGGAAAGGGTAGACACTTTTCAGATTACAGCCTGTCCAAGAATTGCGTGGCATCCATTTCGTTTGGTGATTAGGACACATAGCGGTTAAACCTGGAACTTCAACTCGAACTATTCAGAGATTTATTAACTCGCTTTTGATGATACTTGCTGTTTTATGATGCGATTTTTTTGTTACCTAGGGAGGAGTTGGCCTAGTCGCGCCTTCCACTGATTCGTACCACCTTGATTCCAGCGTTACTGGTAAGAATCAGGAGACCGGCCCAACCGGCATATAATGGGGCCCTTCGAGGGCAGTGTTTAATCTACTGAAATACTGAAACACTGAAATTTACTGAAAACAAAAATTAAAATACAAAATAAAATATGGTCAATGATGGAGGTAGACTGATTGCGTCTTTTAAAACATTCAAAACATAATAGGCATCGACAAAATTTTGGAGAAAAAAAATTCGTAAATTTTTTTTGGGGGGGAAGGGGGTGCTTTTTGTAAAACGAACATCGTAATGACCTTGACCTTCCTTCATCGGCGCTCACTTGGTCCAAAACCGCACACAGAGGACCAGGCTCCGGGTTACCTATTTAGGGTGTTTCCGGTATTTAGGATGGTTTCCGGTATTTTGTGTTGTTCCGGTGTTTTCCGGTATCCAGTATAAAATTATGTTTTCCGGTGTTTTCCGGTTGTTTTCCGGTATATAGTATGGCTCGAACAAATTGGTGTTAGTTACAATAGATCATTTACTGGTATTAATTGTTATTTTTTAATTTTAGTTATAATCTAAAAACTTTCACTTTAATTGTTAATAACAACATAGCATAAATCTTATAATTCAGTAATATTGTTTTGAATACAAGATTTACCATTTACTGTTGTGCATTTTCGATTATATATGGACTTCACAGTATTGACTATTTTTTCTTATCAGGATGCAGACCACTATTAAATTCTACACTGCAATACTATCTGATTTAGTTCCTTTTGTTAAGTCTCAGTGGTCAACTTTGGAGCAAAGCTATGGCCAATTGTTGCTCTGCCTATGGTGGAAAGCTTTCACCCAAACGAAAATTTGTGAAAAAGTTTGTGCCCAGCAAAGAGACCAGAATTGATACCTTTGTCAATGGGGAAAATTGATTGTGGTCTACTTCCATCTGTGCTAAAAAGAATTTATCTCCCTTTAGCTGCTTTGTTGCATGTTAACATTTCAGTACCAGTCCTTCATATTTTACACTTAATTTCTTGTTCAAATTAATTTATTGTTTTGTAGTATCATTGAAAAGATCAATAAATGTTTAAGTTCAATCATATTATGTAATCATGTTTTATATAAATGTATTATTATTCTCACTGATTAGCATTTGAGTGATTTTGAATCTCTTCTGTATTACAATATTGTGAGGTTGAATCTCAGTTAAAAAATAGTTCATTTCCCTTTAGTATTTACAAAGATATGATGAATTGAAAATGGCAACTTTCATCATCCTCTGCAGACAATAAACAAGCCATTGATTCCATTTAGATTAATTAAATCCATGCCTGGTGATTACCGTATATGCTTGTGAATTTTTGGTTTTGTTTTCTTAAATAAATGTTAAACATTTTAGTGGGGATTTAGCTATGAAATAATCAGCAGCTTTATTTTAAAGAAATTTCTGTGTTATATATGTAATAGATTTGAATTGTTTTTATTGTAAAGCCTGAAGATCAGTTGCCATGTTATGTAACTCATACAGGAGTTGAAGTAGAAGACATTGTAAAACAAACTCTACATAATAATAAACATGTACAAGAAGAGATCTGTGGACCAAGGTTAGATTATTTAATCTTCTCAATAATCAGTTATTATTATGAAACACCCATATTTAATGTGCACATAAATTGTCAAATTTTTTCAACACTTCAGGGCAGGGATGCAGTTTTAAAATTTTGACTGTTGGACATTTTTAGTTTGACCAGAATTAGGTCACCAGAGGTTGGTGTCAGCTTCAGAAAATAGGGTCAAAAAGTTTCCATTTCCTCATCCAAGGCAGGAAGAATGTTATTAATTTTTTCTGAATTTTAGTTGGGGTAAATAGAGGCCAGATTTAGGTCACCATAAGTAGTTTGTCAGCTTCAGGAAACAGCGTCAATAAGCTTCCATTACCTTTAATAGACTTCAACTACAAATATTTTTCTGTTATGTAGCATATCATGTTTTTCATTATAATTCCCGTACGGTATTCAAATTTGTCAGTAATATTCCTACAAGATTACACTGTATACACCAATAAAAGGTTCAATCAACTTAGAACATGTCAGCATAGACAGCCGAAACAGCATCTCAGCTTCAGGGATAATTCATTGAGTCACAAGGAAGAATTTTTTAAAATTTTCAGATTTCCTGATTTATCTGTCTATGCATATTTTAGCTGGTACAGAGTTCATTATGTTTTTTGTAAACTTGCCCTGTAGGATTTGTTGAGAAGGATTTTAGGGCATTGATGCATAAGGGGGTCTGGTCAGCCTCCATATGTTCGTTATAACCATGGGGTTACATTACGAGATTTATTTTCAATGAACTAAAAATCAAAAGAAAGCTATGTTGATGAGCATTATCTATGGTCCAGATCATATTTGTTCAAAGTAATAATTGTAGCATAGCCAGAAGGATGGGAGATGATTACAATTGTCAACCAAATCCTCTCCATTATTAAATCTTGGCTATGCCACTCCTTCAAACCACAATAGTATCGAGCTATAAAATGTGTGAAATTCTGTTAATTGTAACATTTTGATTTATTTGTATAGTGTAGGTTTCTCATATTGCTATATTCATTATTTCATAAAGATTAAAAAAAACAACTTTAAAATACATGCATATAAACTGTCTCAGAAATATGACACCCTTTTCAAAAACTTAATAACTGAAACACTTTGTATGTTCAGTAATAGTACAAAGGTTTTTCATTGTATTCAAACATTGGTTATGCAATGTGAACATCTAAAGAATACTTATTTCACCCAAAATTAATGTGTAGAGAATTTCATATTAGTCTCATATTGCCTGCTATCCATTTCTTGATATATAAGAAGATATTGGATTATAAAAAGTTGACTTATTTCATACTGAAGTTGTTAAAGTTAAAAAATTTGAATAGGTTTTGATGTAAGTTGAGTATAAAATGTTATTTATCATCCAACATATTTCTTTTTATAACAAGAAATAGAAAATATGTAATATCACTTGTAGATTGCCTTGAGATAACATTTAACTATTTTCTCCAGCCATTAGCCAAGAGTACTGGTACAAAGAAATATAAGGGCTTTAGGGTAGTAGAGCTCAAAGTAGCTAAGTCTCTAACTCAATATCATCAAAAATCTTCGACAATGAAAACACAAATTATTTGTCAATTCAAATCAACATTGGTCTTGTGATCTTACAGTGAAAAGATGGGCTTCTGATATCCAATATTCAAGACAAAATAAACATTTTGTCTTTGGTACACAATTCGTGTACCATAATGCGTTTCAGTGCCATTTGAAACAAGGGACTCAAAGAACGAGGCTAGACATGTTCCATAAGTCAGGTCAAATGGTGACGCTATATTCTTATCTGGAGAGCATGCGCAATAAATACCATCGGTTTAGATTGGAATAACCAGACACTAAAGATTGTCTTCAAGTGAGACTTCTGACGTATTTCGCCAAACATAACTGATTAGAAATTATTACAGTAAAAACAGAAACGATTGAATGTAAATCAGCTTATATACATTCATATTACATTATTATATTCGTTGCGACCCATTTGTGTCAATTTCTAGATCCCAAATATTAGCGATTTAGCTCCTTTAAGGTTGCTGGACAATATGAATTTAATTTGCAAAGTTTCTGACAGTCATTTTGAAGTGGAAGCCCCAGAGTGTCATAGTTGGAAATCGGGTGTGAGATGAGAAGAACAATGTTTGGGGTAGTGCTTGTGCGACTGGCAAGTACCAGTACAGTGTTACCAAGTCGTTAAGTGTGATGAGGTCAATCCTTTCACATTGGCATGTATGTAGAGAAAAACATTGGTTATCGTAATTTGATGAAACAGACAGAAATATGACTGTCAAAGCAAAATTATATTCCCTAACATTGCACAGGTGACCATAGAAAATAAATGAAACGACCGATGTATTGTGTTAACAACACACTTTTCTTTCCAAACAATATTCTTGTTCAAGATGAATCGTTTTGTTTTGAGTTCCATTAAGCTATTACATCAACCAATTGTACAAAGAGCAAATACTTTACAGTTATAACAACCCTCCTTTGTTTTATTTATTGGGGTGATTGATACATATATATTTTATTTAGACACAGTGAATATGTTTAATAAACATATTACTTTTCCAATAAGAGTTTACAAAGAATAAGTTACGGTCAAATGCCCCTGTCAAGGTATTGTGCTAAATTTCTGATTTACCCTATTTATTTCAATCAGAAAAATAAATCCTTGATTGATGTTAATTTTACTTAATTTATATCATGCATGAAACACAGAAATATATATACTATAAGTATAAAGAAGTGCCTTATAAGGCAAGGTCACCGGTCACTCCCAATAGTATTATAAAAAAAAAAAAAAAATGTCTTATTATAGGGCCTTATGCTTTCTGTGTTATATATTTCATGTAATTTCTATATTTGGCATGAAACACAGAAATTGACAGAAATAGTATAGACTATAAAGCAGTTCCTTATAAGGGAAGGTCAACATGGTGCTCTCAGATAATAAAGCCTTATAGGGACTTACTATCTGTGTTATTATATTTTATGTAATTTAAATCTGGCATGAAACACAGAAATATACACTATAAAGCAGTTCTTTATAAGGCAAGGTCAATATATAGTTCACGGTAGCATTATAATAAAGCCCTTATAGGGACTTGCCATCTGTGTTATAGTGTATTGTATAACCATATGTTAGTCTCAAATGACCTAGGTAAAGTTTGAGGCCAAGGTGATCAAGCTGTTAGGACACTGGACTCAAGATTTTGATGCCTAGGGTTTGAATCCTGGCGTGAGTAAAGAAGAGCTTCAGAATTTTTTAACCATACACTGTATATGATTTTGACTTGTCTGGGTCCCTGCCAATAAAACCTAGTCATTCAGATGGTATAAAAACTAAGGTTCTCCCATGTACAAATTAGCATGCATGTAAAACAACGTACCTAAACATTACCCAATATTTCCTTAATGTAAAGTATAAAAAAGATGTTGAATTCCATGCATTATTTTTATAAAATGACTCGATGATAGATCATGTATATAATATAAGTGTAGGTATGGTGTATGTATAAGCATTCCTTACATAGTTATATGGGTAGATATAGCAAGCATTTATAAATAAATTTTGACATCAAATCTATCCCGGTCAATAACACTCTCACATATATATAACAAATAAGTAGAAACCCTTGACTTAAGTGCATTTAAAAAGGTAGTCAACAATTTGTATGATTATTTTTTAATATATTCCAATTTGCAGTTCAATGCAGTTGAATATTGTCACAGATTTCTTGTTTCGTTATGTGAGATTTTTTTGTGGTTGATTACCTGTGACATATTATCTTCTTGATTTTCTACATTTTATTTTAGCCCCTCTGGACAAACTCTTGTTGGGATACATTCCATGCATTTTCTTTTATTTTGGTGATACAAAATGATATTCAAATTAGAGTGATTTTTGGTTGGGGGTAGGGGGAGGAGGGATCTTAACATCAACTCAACACTTCACTTGATTTTCTACATTATATTTTTAGTCACCAGGACACACTGTTAGGATACATTCCATACATTTTCTTTTATTTTGGTTATACAAGATATTCAAACGAAAGTAATTTTGTAGAACAATAATCAAATAGATTGAGAGTGAGGGATCGAGAAGAGGGGCAGGGGAAGGGAAAGATTTTAACATCCACTCAACACCAGCATGGTTATTTTGCTACTAAAATATTGTATATTTTTATTTCAATAATTCATTTGAGCACAGGGGTCTTTAGAAATAGGAGGAAACTGTCGTACCCAGAGAAAGCCCACAAGGTTAGTCATGCAAGCTTACTCCTTATGAGGTAGTAACAGAGATTGAACTGATGACTACCAGAGATAACAGGCCATTATTATAATGATCTCTTCTGGTTTTAATGATTAAAGTTCAAGGACATTGGTTACAGTTTTAAACATTTGAAACACATGACACAAAATATTAATTCCTGAAATGATTTTCTCCTTAAGTTTTATTAATGTTATTTGCCACGTAAGCTTTTAGTGGGAGTATCTAGGTGTAATCTATAAGATCAATGTATGACTAATGCCTATCTTATCTATCTCTAATTACATACAATCCTATATACATATATCACAAGATCAATGTGAACTTTAACTATGTGATAAGACTATAAGAGTGATTAGATTTATCATGATATCCAATACATATAGATAATTATATCTCACATGTACATGTACTCTATATCATATTACATGGTCATGTGTCTCAATAAACTACATTTTAATTAATACAAACCAGGTTTTGTCCTATAAAATAAAGGTTAATAGCATTTAAATGGTATTATAGATCATAAGACTTAAATTACTGTTAGATATCAATCAATTCAAAACAGTAGATTTAAACTAGGAAATAAAATATTGTTTATTCACCATATATGAAATAATGACTCATTAATTATATTAGTCCTAAATAGTAGAATATATGTGTTCATTTTCTTTATTTTTATTTACAGACTCAAAAGTAGGGAGAATTTCATAAGGATAGTTATATTTTTGCA